TTGAAGTTGTACCCAAAGTATTGGATGCAAGCCAAAGGAATAAGATATAAAAGAGTAAAAGTATAGATACATAAACGTAGAAAATCCGTGATGAAATAGTTACAATTTTGCTTTACAATCTGATGTTACAAAAAAGCGAGTCCGGAGAGTGAGTAATAAATTAAAAAGTATCAAATTTCAAGAAATTCTCATTCTTGGTTCAAAGTTAGGATTAATTTGATCGCTATAGAAAAATAGGTGGATTTCGAGAAAAAAATCACGTAGGCGAAATGTGCCAATACCAAATATAGTGAGCAACTGAAATACTAAAAAAATCTTTATCCTTCATGGACGAGATGATGCTTTCTATAATTAAAAAATATAAGGCTAAAGATATATTTGATTTGGCTACATGCAAAAGGATAAAAGAATGAAGTTAGTACTATTTCAAATTTAAAAAATGCTGAAAACATAAATGAGAGTATTGGTTACACAAAGCTAAGGAATGCCGATTGATAGGCTCTAAAGTTTATTGCATATTGGCATCCTGACCCTTGCATTTACAATAATCAAAGCATAATTCTCTCTAGGTAAAATGCAATGAGCTTCACAGCCACGAAATAGTAAGTTGAACGGAGAAAATGAGGAGTGGAAAATGATTGAGACAATCTAGAAATGTAGATGCTTCGACATTTTTTGAGTAAACTGCATTAAGTTGCTGCTGTACACTGTGGACTCTAGAACACAACAAATAGCAAGCATAGTTGGATCATATCAAGACTACTAACAAATTGATGCTCATCAGGTACAAGCAGAACGAAACCACGCGCGCCTATCTAACAAAGAAAATCTACCAAAATATGTATCAAAATAAGAATAGTGTGAAGAAGGAGAAACAAACCAAATAGTTGAGTATATGAAGACCAAGATGTTGTGGCCTCTGTTATGGTCGCTGACCACAAGACCAAGTTGCGACAACGAGGTCAACCCATTTCTATAAACCAAATAATGTTTCACAATGTGTAGATATTACACGTCGCCATTAAATACTCCTCTCGTTGCTAGTTATGTTCTTCTCAAATCTGATTGGACAAATAACAGAAAAATTAATGTTTTTTTGCATAATTTCGTTTGGTACATCTCCAAGGCAATTTAGATCTCAATTACCCGAATTAATTGAGATTTTGCGTTAGGTAGCTCTAACTTCCGTTGAGACATCAGTGAATCAATGTCAAATGCCTCTATAAATTTGATTATTAGTCCAAGATTGTGAGAAAAATGCAATGATTTATATGGAAGGCCGTCTCTAGTCATTGAGACACCGAGTCATCTTGAGGCCCGTTGACCTCAGCGCCTGTGGCTAGGGCTGTACCCTCGATCGATGGATGGGCGGAACACGAATGCGAGGACAACGGGCTGGTACACGAAGGGCTGGAGTGTATTGGAGAAGCGAGCTCGGGTATCCCCACTCCGTGAACCAGGTGAGAGCACAGAATTCGTAGTCCTGCTGCCGGGGAGTCTGGCTGTCTGAAGATGGCAGAATCAGATGTGACCGGCGTCGGAAAAGACATTAAGTAAGATGGAGATCTTGGCTCAATAGTTTCATCATGGCTGCAGAGGGGACGACATTCAACGCGTTGATACGCGGAGCCATGTTCCCAGGGGAAACAGCGAATCGAAGAACTCTTATTCTAGTAGCGAATAGATGTAGCAAATAATAAGTTTATGGGGGTAGTGTTTGCAAAAGTGAGTCAAAATAAAGAGATAAAAGAACAAAAGTACACTTTAATAGGCTAGTAATTTGATTAAGCCACTGTATCCTAGGCGGTTCATGTTCCAGTAAAGTGCGAAATATTAGTGCTTTTGAAAAGTACCACTTAATTACTAACCGTATAGCCGAATACGACTAAATATTTAAACTTAGGACAAAGTTCAAGTGGTTTGACCTCATTTTCATAACTTGGTTGTGTTGTCAAGGCGATAAAATTAAGCACATCTTGTCCAAAGTCGTTGTTATAATGATTCCCAACGTCGGATAATCAACCCGGTACATTCCGAAACGTTTGGCTGGCATAATCGGTGGACCTTCTCAGCCTGATCACCACACACACACACACACACACGTGAAGTCAGTCTCTTCATTTGTCTCTGATG